CAGAAATAAATAAAACATTTTTTAAAAATTTAAAAAAAACCTGGAATATAACAGGTTCATCACCACCTCCCATTTGGCCACAAACTAAGGCAAGAGGACAGGCTCCACTTATTCAGTTTGACCTTAGAATCTGGAGCAGAAATTCCTTTAACACACACACTTGGCTCACAGCATGGATGCCAGCACCTCTCCATGCGACGGTGCGTCAGCGGGTACCAGAAAGTTGCTTGTTGGCAGGACCCCGAGTGCTAAGCCTTTGCAAAGGGTGGCACGTGAGCTTGACCCAGAGGACACAAGGCCTTTTGTTACACAGAAAATGGTAGAGGATCTATGGAGTCTGTGAAGGCTTTACTGTGCTTGGCCTCAGTGGTGCTTTTCAGCTTTGGTTTGGCCTCTGCAAGGTGTTGAGGGGGAGGCTGAGCTTGGCTCTGAGCCCTCCACCCTCGCATTACCCATTGAAGCTCTACACTATTCTCTTTCGTATGTGGACATTCCTTCAGCAGGAGGTTTGGGGGGAAAGGAGGACATCCTTGCCACAAATATGTTTGCAAATGCTTGAGCCAAGGTCTGCAGTGTGTGTGACAATGCAGGAAAATGAGGCTGGTGTGCCTGGTGGAGACAGGTTCCAGAAGATCTTGCAGGTCATGGTATGGAATTGGACATATCCCTCTAGATGGGGCAGGAGCTGGGGGCAGGGGTGGGGCACAAGAGTGAGAAGATGAGAGGGGCGCCTGGGTGGCTTAGTCGGTTGGGCATCCGACTTTCGCTTAGGTCATGATCTCGCGGTTCGTCGGTTCAAGCCCCGCGTCGGGCTCTGTGCTGACTGCCAGCTCAGAGCCTGGAGCCTGTTTCAGAGTCTGTGACTCCCTCTCTCTCTGACCCTCCCCTGCTCACGCTGTCTCTCTCTCTCCTAGAAATAAATAAAACATTAAAAAAAAAAAAGTGAGAAGATGAGAGAACCAGCTGTGGCATTGGATTGTGTGTACTTAATATATCTGAAATCAGTCAGCTCTAAGTGCTTGGCAGAGTCCTGTATCCTGAGAAGNGCCCCGCGTCGGGCTCTGTGCTGACTGCCAGCTCAGAGCCTGGAGCCTGTTTCAGAGTCTGTGACTCCCTCTCTCTCTGACCCTCCCCTGCTCACGCTGTCTCTCTCTCTCCTAGAAATAAATAAAACATTAAAAAAAAAAAAGTGAGAAGATGAGAGAACCAGCTGTGGCATTGGATTGTGTGTACTTAATATATCTGAAATCAGTCAGCTCTAAGTGCTTGGCAGAGTCCTGTATCCTGAGAAGTGTGTGTACTGGGAGACATTCACACACAGAGATGCATATGTTGACCCCATACACACACATGGCCAGAAGCTTAAAACATACACACATACACACACACACCCTCACAGAAAGAGACTCCCAAGACTGAGAAAGAGGCAGTCATAGAGATACTCAGAGACAGAGACATAGAGAATAGGGACAGACATGTGGAAAGACATAAAGGAACGGGGTGGTGTGTGTGGGGGGGGAAACACAGAGAGACACCAACCCAGACACACATAGAAGCCCGGTGACACCAAGAGAGAAATACAGGGTGAGATACCGACAGAGGTGCACACATAGACACAAACACATGACAGACACCAAGAAGGGGCCACAGAAAGACAGAGAGAGACAGACAGAAGCAGGCATGGAAAGAGAAGTAAATACATAGGGAGAAATTAAACCCCTTAGATAGAAATCATGGACCACTCGATTCCAGGATGTGTGCCCAGAGTGGCTGCAAGCCCCTTCACTGGTTGCAGTCCCACTTGCCTCTCAAAGGGTGAGCATCTGCTCTGTAGAATGTGATCCTGGTGCCTCAGGATGTCGTTAGCTACCTCTTTCTCCCGAAACCCAAACTAAGGCTTCACCAGGTGCTGGATTGCAGAACCAGTACTTGCCTCCAACAAAGGAAATGGGACTATTTAGACTTGTTGAGGGGTATTCCATTAATAGAGTTCAGTGTTGATTTAAGGATCTTTCTGGGGCAGTTTAGCCATTCATGGTTTTTACCTTAATGGCCACCTTCAGAAGGGAGAGAAAATAGGGGCAGAGCAGCTTGAAGTGATTATTACATCTGGGGGTAAGTAGGAATACGGCATTAAGACTCTGTGAAGTCCACTGAAACAAAGACCATCAAAAGACCATGCCTCCACCAGAGGAGGAGGCCAGAGGAAATAAACACCTGCGGGTGGCCTGTTACACTGGATGTGATTGAGGGAATGGTCATGAAAGGGAAGAAATTCCAGAGAGCCTGGAGGCTGACTTGGTGTAGAAAGGTATCAACATGACCTGAAGGCCTCTAATCTGGTGTGTTTGGAATGCTGGCTCTGGTAATGAGGTGACAACCTAAGTTGTGTACCTGGTGAACTTAATGTGCAATCTGGGTATTCTCATGGAAATACCCAGTGGGTTGTTTCAGAAAGGGCCGTTACACAGTTTCAGACTTGTGAGGCTGAGCAGTATGGATGATGGGAAAAAAGTATATCCATGTGTACTAACCATGTCTTTTATTTTCTGATTTATTATACTTCTTTTTTTTTTTTAATTTGAGAGAGAGAGAACATGTGCACTAGTGAAGGAGATGGGTAAGAGGGAGACAGAGAGACAGAGAATATCTTAAGCAGGCTCCACACTGAGCATGGAACCTGATGCAGGGCTTCATCCCACGACCCTTGAATCACGACCTGAGCCAAAATCAGGAGTTGGACGTTCAACTGACAGAGCCACCCACATGCCTCTGATTTATTATATTTCTGATGCCTTGATCACTGGAGCCTTATTGACCCTAAATGGATAGCACACCCAAGGTTGCCAATTCCTAGATATAATAAAAGACTCACCTTTGAGTGAGCCTTTCAAATGCACACCAAACGATCCAGGACTCTTATACTCCAGGCCACTATCTACCCGACATAATCCTCACAGGGCCAGGCCCCAGACAGGCCAGGGGTAGCTCCTGTGCCCCAGAACCTGCTAAAATTATTTAAACCAGCCAGTCCTTAGCCTTACTCTGCCTTGTCCATTCCTTCCTACAGAAACCACGTAGAGTTTCTTGCCCTTGGTGCTCCCCTCCCTCTCTGACCCCATAGTTTTTCTCCATGGGATGCCATGACATGGTGTGCCCACTCCTGGAATCTGTGAGGATCACAAGCTGTCTTTTCAGTGGCAGTTGTTTCCTGATCTATTGGCCTCATCATACTTAAATAATAATAAAATAAAACCTACATCAAAACACAAAAAGAGTAGTAGCTAATGTGACAGGCCTTGAAATTGACTTTATGTCCAAAGAACTTGGGAACTTCTAGGTAAGGCTATGAAATCAGTCATTTGCTGTACCACTGCAGATACCCAGAACAGGATCCTGGGCCAGGCAGAGATGAAGACCATGAGAATGGCCCCCAAGAAAGGAATTCGGGCGACATAAATGGGGGCTGCAAGTGATATTAACAAGGCTATAAAGAAAGAGTTGACATACCCAATAGCATAATTGTAAAGAAGGGCACTGTTAAGTAAATGTAGATCAGTATTATCAGGGACACTGGGGGCAGGAGAAGATCAGTCCCACTTCTTAACTTTGGGAAACAAAGGGTCTGTTTGGGGGAAGGTGAGCCGAAAAATGACCTGGGATGGGAGGGGGTGATGTAATTGGGAGTAGCTAGGTGAAAAGTCTTTTCCTGGGGATAGTGGTTTTCGATCTCATGAGTGAAAGAGGCAGGGAGCTAGCAAGCTCATAGTAGGGCCTGATGATATGGAAAGGCCTGTGTAGGACTCAGAAACCCTGAATTTCTAGTGGGAACTTAGGTGTAATTTGGGATAGGGAAAGTCACTATCCTAAGATGGTGGGCCACAGGATCTGATGGCCTCTCCTCTTGACTGAAGGTTTAGAAGTGGCTGGAAGGTCACAGGTGTCGAGAGGACTAGAGGTGGCTGAGGCTTTATAAGCTAATGTCTGGGTCATCATCAGAGTCCCTTGTTTGGATAAAAGACGATCAACAGGAAGGGCCAACATACCTTTTTTAATGTGCCATTTTACCTCCCATTTCTTTTTCTCCTGCAAGCAATGATTGTTGCCAACTTAGGTGACTTCTGGGTCAGTGTAATTTAGGGCTTGCCACTCAGTAGCAGTGGCCATAGAGTCCTGGAAGACAGAGCATAGAAGAGCAACCACTATTATTTGGTCTTTATTCTGTGCTGTGAACCCAGCTGAGTATGCACTAGTTGTTGGGGAGGGAGCACACATAGTTCTTTCCAGGACCATAGGGGATTGGGTTTGTAGCCTGATGCCACCACTTCTCTGGGAACATCCCTTAAACTCCTTAATCCTCGGTATTCTCATCTCTAACACACGGATGCTTATAAAACTCAGATTAGAAGATTGCAGTAAGAAGCAAACAAGCTAACACTGACATCAGACCCTTAAAACAAAGCCAGTCACCTAGTAAAGGCTCCTTCCATTCTCCTTGTTACTGAACCAAATGAAAGTGGTCAGGACAAAACAGCAAATCTCAGCCATTTCCTCTGGTCCAACCTAGTACTGTTCCTATGATCGCTACGATTTGCTCATATGAAGTTGTCTCATTCATGGGCTGCAGAATCCTGGAGGCTCTTGAAAATTCAGCTTGAGGACAATGGCTCTCAGTGTTAGAACACAGAATGTTTTCTAAAGTTATGTAAAATAAAAGGAAGAATCTCTCTAAGTGCCTTCTTCCCCAGGAGAGATCAGAAGACTCCAGAGAACGCATCTGAGGTCATAGTGGAGAAATAAGACAGAACCATGGTTTCCTGTTCCTCATTCTTGACAGTAGTGGAGGAAGTGGAAAATAAAGCATGGAAACAAACACAGTACTTGCAGATAGTGGTAAGGAAAGGAAGAAATGTAAAGCGGTGCTATGAGAAGGAGGTGGGTGACAGTTTTGATTGAAGGGTGGCTCAGGGGAAAGCTTCTCTGTGGAGGGCCATTTGCAAGTATGGAATCCCCAAGAGCAGAATGCGCCTGGCATCACCAGGAAGGGAGGAAGGTCAGGGTGACTGGCGTATATGAACAAGGAGAGGGAGACCGGGGCAAGGTTAGGAGGTGGGTGGGGGTGGATAACAGAAAGGCTCCTTGAATGGCAGTTGTTTGTCATCTGTCATGTAAGACCAAAATACTAAAATCCTCTTAACTAATTGCAGTGATAATTCTTATATTTTATACTGTGTTTTTCCTTTAGCAAAGGTTTCTTTTGTTTGTTTGTTTGTTTGTTTGTTTTCTGCCCCTATTATTTACTTGTGATCCATAGAACTTCCATGGCAGGGGGAGAAAGGCAGGGAAGGGGAAGGACTGGTGTATTATTGCCTTTGTTTTACAGCCAAGGAGGACACTGAGGCACAGTGGGGGCAGGAGGCAGAGTGCTAGCATCTGCCCCCACATTTTCTTATCCAGTCCCCCCGCTGTGACTTGGTCTTCCTTGGAGCTTTAATTCCATTGGAAAAACGACTCTACAAAGCTCCGCTATCTCATTATCTAATTATGCCTTGTTGTGATTTTTAACGAAGGTAGCTGTTTGTTTAATTCCAAGTTCCATTCGATTCAGCAACTCTCACTAATTAAATGTAAGGCTAGAAATAGGTTAGAGGTGCTAAACAATCGCCTGTGTTTTGAATATGATGTTCATATGTAAACACAGCCCACAGATCACACGTTCTGAAATGCATGTGTGCTTAATTAGCCAAATGTGAACCACAGGTTGGCATAAATAGATACTTTTCAATAAATGGCTCTGTGTTGAAAATGTTAGCTGGAAGTGTGGGAGCCCGGAGAAATCAATCACTAACACATCTGAATGTGTGCATTTCTTTATTTCTTCTTATAGTTATCCTTTCCATCACATTAATGGAATTGCCAGCTAGGTGCCCACCTCTTGGCAAGGCACCGAAGAGGACATAGGATCTGTCTATAGATGAGAAAGGGGGCTAGAAGTTCTGCCAATGGAAGAGCCAAAGTAGACAGGAACAAAGTTCCCAAGTGAAACTTCTGGAAAAGAAGTTGGGGAAAGAGGGGAACCTGGATGGTTCAGTTGGTTAAGTGTCTAACTCTTGGTTTTGGCTCAGGTCATGATCTCAGAGTTCTTGAGTTCGAGCCCTGCATTGGCATTCACACTGACTGTGTGAGGCCTGCTTCTCTCGCAAAATAAACAGTAAGAATTTTAAAACTTAAAAAATGTTAGAGAAAGAACAGATGATCTTCAGCAGAGGGGCCAAGGAAGGAGTCCTGAATTTTAAAAAGTTACTGATAAAAGTCTCATCTGGAATGCTTAATAACTCTCAAAACCCTGTTAAAAAAATGAAAAGTTCTATTAGAAAATATACAAAAGGCATAAAGAGACACTTCATCGACAAGGACAGAGTTGGCAAAAAAACACATGAAAAGGTGTTTTGACATCACCAGCTGTAAGAAACCAAACAAGAGCTTGTCCACCTGATGCACAGCAAGAGAATAAAAGGCTGGCATGAAGCTTGATTTTCAGTGGAGAAAGATAGGTTGTTTATTGGTGTGGTGCCACCTTGGTGCGGCTAATGCTTGAAGTCTCAAATTCCCCAGTGGCTTACAAGTGGGAGTTTTTAAGGGCAAAATTTAGGGAAGGGGTGTTCTGAGGAGGTGGGTGCTATTGATTGGAGGCTTATGAAGTCATATTTTTATTTTTTTAAATGCTTATTTACTTTTTTTGTGAGAGAGAGAGAGAGAAACAGAGAACCTCAAGCAGGCTCTGTGCAGTGAGCTGAGAAGCCAACATGGGGCTCTAACTCATGAACCCTGAGATCATGACCTGAACCAAAATCGGGAGTCAGATGCTTAACCAACTGAGCCACCCAGGTGCCCCAGTCCATGAAGTCATATTAATAGATGTTACTCAGTTGCTGCTGGTACTGCTCTGTCTGGTCCTATGGAAGTCTGATCCATCACAGAAGATCTGGAATCTGCAAAATATCTTTGTTCTTTATGTTAGAGATGTCATTAACTATCTGGTGACTCTGAGTTCAAGATAGTGATGCTTTGCTTCCTGTACCTCCTCAAACTCACTATATGCATCGGCTAGTGGACTTGCATTTCTTCATGTTACTTTGAGTGACACACAGGCATACCTATCTCTTGAGCGTGGGTCTACATGTTCCCTGGCCAGTCCAGCCATGTCTGGGGACAGTATCACGCCTGGTGTTCCTTCTTTCATCTAAAGTAAGGAGATGGATGCCAGCTTCATAGCCTTCAGGAAAATGCAAATTAAGACCACAATGACTTATCACTGCACACAGATTAGAACAGATAAAGTCACAACACAGAATGCTGGTAACCTTGTAGAGAAACTGAATCTCTCTGGTGAGAATATAGAAACCAAACATAGCCAGCAATTACACTTCTGGGCATTTATCCCAGAGAGCTGAAAACTTATGTGCACACACATTATATATGAATGTTCAGAGTGGCCCAACACTGGACAACACAGTGAGATCCTTCAGTAAGCAAGTGGTTCAACAAACTGGTACATCTCTGCTGTGGAATACTACTCAGCAATAAGAAGGCATCAGTGACTGATACATGCAACAGAGTGGATGGATATCAAGAGCTGAGTGGAAAAAAAATCTCAAAAGGTCGAATAATATATGATTCCATTTATGCAGCATTCCCAGAATAACAACATTATAGAGACAGAGAACAGATGAGTGGTCCCTGGGGTTAAAGGTAGTCGGGGAGAGTGTGACTATATGAGGGCACAAAGGAGATCTTTGCCTTCATGGATTTATTCTGTCTTGAGTACAGTGCTGTTTATGCATCTGCACATAGGCTAAAATGACTCTGAGCTGTACACACATTGTACCGGTGTCAGTTTCCTGAGCTTGATGTTGGTACTGTAGCTGTGTGGTGCTGCCCATACACCATTGTTCAGTACTTGGAGAAACTAGGTGAAGGGTACGCTGCACAGTATCTTTCTCCACTATTTTTGCAACTTCCTTTGAATCTATAATTATCTCAGTGTGAAAAATATTTTCTTAAAGTTAAAAATAAAATAAGTGATAATAATAGCTAACACTTAAAGAGTACCTACTGTATACCAAGGCTTTGTGAAAGCATTTATTTTACGTAATTTATTCCTAATTCTCAAGGGGCAAAATGATATGAGATTTAGAAAATGTTATGTCTATCTTGTAGATAAGGGACCTGGGGCATGGAGAAGTCAGATAGCTTGTCCTGGGTCACACAGAGAGTAAGTGGTGGGTGGGATGAGGATTCAAATACATTCAGTCCAGCCCCAGAGCCACGTGTGTCCCACTGTCCTCTTCATGATACTGCGTGTGGCTTTCTGGGATGTGTAAGTTCTGTTGAGCCAGAATATCTGTGCAGCAAAGGAAGGATATTTGGGTATAGAGAATTCCTGTGGTAGAGCTTTCCTCATCTCCTGGGCTGGTCTTCATACTTTAAGAGAGAGTGGCAAAGTTCTGGAAAGCCACTGTTAAGTATGCCAGGTGTGCAAGGACAGCACTGGTGCCTGTACTCAGGTGGCAGGGAAGTGGCTTCTGTAATTAGCTGAGGAAAATGGAGTTGTTCTGATTTCCACTTGCAGGGAATGTCCCCAAGGGTCCCTCTCCTTGTCTTACATGCAGAGAAAGGCCGGGAGAAGGGTGGAGCGGGGGGGTGGGGGAGGGGATGCATCTCAAATAGCACAGGTGTTAGTGTTCTTCCTTTTCCATCGCCAAGATATAAATCCTCCAATTTCCATGCTGATTTATTTGAGGTTGAGAATATTTCTTTGTCTGCTTCCTATCCAGCTGCCTAATCTCCCTTTGATCCCAGTCCTAAAAAAATTCTTTGATTTCTGTCAACCTGAAAATGCTTGGTGCTCGCCAGCATTCTCTACTAAGCCTTGAGCCCCAATCTCCCTGTGATTGCCATTTTCTGCTTTGCTGCCTGCCTGGTGCAAGGGTTTCTAATGCAAGGAGTGGAATCTGAGCAAAGCCGTGTGCTCTCAGGGATGTACCCATAGATTTATTTTGATGCTTTATTTTTCTTGTTACTAGTATAATAGGAGGGCAGGTCCTTGCTCCAATTAGTGGGCTCAGCATTCTGGTTGCAACCGGTTTAAGTATCCAGTCTCAGAGGCAGAACCACCTAGGGAGAGTCCTAGCAGAGAACCGAATTACTGCGTGAGGGAGGGAATGAGGCAGCTGGGGTCCTAGAAAGCACCACTTAGGAGGAATGGCCAAGTGAGGTCTCTTGGAGAAAGAAGAACTGTTGATCTGTTTTGTTCAAGGAAAAGCTTTTTCTGTGTTCTGATATGATTTCCTTTTACCATCCCGTTCTTGGTTGACTATTTAGCCAGCAGTCTGATAAAAGTCATCTCTAGGCCTGTTAGGGGGTGAAGATGAGACCTGGGCTCTGGCTGGGTTTGGGGCATCAAGTTAGAGCACTGGAATATTGGCAAGAGGGTGGTTCATGGGAGAGGCATGGGATATGATTTCCAAAGATCTCTGAAAAGATGGAGGAAGAGGCTGGTGTTTGCCTAAGAGCTGAAGAGGCCGCCTGTAGGATTTAGGCTAAATATGGATACCATCAGATTGAGGGGTTCAGAGAAGTGGAGGGGAACACCACCTGGATTGTGGCTTGAAATAGAGCAGCTGAGGGGGGAGGGGGCGCCTGGGTGGCTCAGTCGGTTAAATGTCCAACTTAGACTCAGGTCATGATCTCACGGCTCGTGGGTTCGAGCCCCGCATCGGGCTCTGTGCTGACAGCTAGCTCAGAGCCTGAAGCCTGCTTCAGATTCTGTGTCTCCCTCTCTCTCTGACCCTCCTCTGCTCACGCTGTCTCTCTCTCAGAAATTAAAAAAAAAAAAAAAAAGAAAGAAAAAGAAAAAAGAAATAGAGCAGCTGGAGTCCCTCTGTCAGGATACTACAGCCTCCCTGATGGTAGCAGTATGAATGGTTTGCCAGGATCCACCCCTTGTTACTGAGGCCACTTTGGGGCCCAAGACAGAGTCCATGAGAAGAA